AAGGGGAGGAGCTTTTTCAATGTTTTTTTTCTCCTTTTTTTCTTTTATTATTATTATTATTTATTTTTGTATATGCGTGTTTCGTTTTAGTATATAGTATCTTTTTTTTTATTATATATTATATTATTTTCTTCTTTTTTTTTGCTTACAATAACCAGCAGTTTTTTTTAGTAAAAAAAAAAAAAAAAAAAAAAAAACTTGACAAACATTCACGAATAAAAATTTATTTTATTATAAGGTATATGTTATATGTCCATCAACATCTCCCGTAATTAAAATAATAATAATAATAATTGTCTAATAAATATAATTTGTACAAAATATTTGTGCACGTTCAAAGAGAAAAATAATTGTAAAGGAAAAAAAAAGAAAAAAAATTTTGGGGATAATCCTTAATTTTTGAAAGAGAGAGAGAGAGAGAAAAAAGAATAAAACGAACAGGAAACCAGTCCCAGGTGCGAGGGGTAAAATACAAAAGAAACTCATACGAGGATTAAGGTGCTACTTTAGTCTAGGCCCTTTGTCACCTATCAATGTTACAAAAGATTCAAATAAAAGAGAGTGCTTAAGTTAACGCTATAAACTATCTAATATCTATCTATAGGGGATGACCCCTCGTATTTATTAATTGTCCTATGCCCCTGTTAAATGATTTCAGGTTTTCGAATGTTAAATGTGGGTTTCTAGATATTTCCATGTGACTTCTATTCACAACCATTAATATTTTTAGGTTAGAAAACGCGGCATTCAAAAAATTTACTTCTTCAACATGAATCCTTTTATTTTTTTTTTTTTATTTTGTCCTTAACAAACCATTATACTGGGCCTTTACTTTTATTCTTTTTACTCCTCTCTTGTTCTATCCCCCTTCCCTCTCCTCCCCCCCCCGGAAAAAAAACCACACATGAATATAATTTCATATTTGTATTTAACATATACATGTATTACTTGTATTGTCTTATCATCTTTGAAAAAAAAACATACAAATACATGAATTAAATTAAATTTAATTAAAATGATAATAATAATAATAATGATAATAATTTTATGGTTATTTATAAGAGAAAAAAAATGATAAATATCTTTTAAAGGGTTTATAATTTTATTACAGGGAGGTCTGGAAAAAAAAAATTTATTTTGCATTAAAATAAATTAAATTCGCAAAATATATGTTAATGAAGGAAGTTTAATAATAATAATAATAAAAAAAAGGGTTGACATGAAACCTTTGATTTTAAACCTTTATCTCAATCAATATCATATTGTATTCTAATAAAAAAAAAAAAAAAACCTTTTAACGGTTAATTTACATCAATTCCAGCCTTTTTATTTTTTTGTATTGAATTCGGTCCATGTGAAATCTGCAATGTATTTTACATTGTTGCCAATTTTTATTTAAATAGTTCCTTTTTTTTACATCCCTAAATTGTTCTCGAATTAAATTTTTTTTTGGCAACGTTGCATATTTAAACGAGGACACATTAAATTTAAAAAAAAGGTGCGAATTATTTAAATTCAATATAAAATAAGATAAAAAAAAAAAAATAATAATATCGGAGGCAGTGCCGGCCATGTCAAAATGATTTTATGCTCTAAATTAAATATATACATATGTGTAGAATTAGGGTAAACCCTTTAGGGGTTCCTTTCCTTTTAATATTTTAATATTATTATTATTATTATTGTTATTGCTAAAAAAAAAATTGAAAATAAATTTAAAAGTATATGATTTTTGTGTATTACATTATTTGAATAAAAGTAAATCATTTTTTTTTTTTTGCGAGGGAAAAAATCACATATTTTTTTTTTTACACCCTTAAAACGACATTTTTTTTTCTTTCTTCGCCAAAATAAAAAATGAATTTTTTTTTTTTTTTTGTAACAAATGTCGAAGTCATGGATAAATTTTTCTGTTTTTATTGAAAAAAAAAAAAAATTTTTTGTTAATGATTATGAAGTTTCCTACACACATCCTTTTCCTTATTTTTTCCTAATTTTTAATAAAAACGAACGTTCGTTATTATTATTATTAATAATTTTCTAACGAATTCAATGATTGAATGGTAAATAATAAGAAAAAAAAAAAAAAACGGTTAACGGGATGTTGTAAACTTCTTCTTGAGATAACTCAATAAAAGAGTTTATGTTAACAAGGACAATCTGTTATAAGGGATAAAAGGGCAATTTTTCCCTCGATGACTCTTGACAAAGACGCAAACATTTTGGGATAAAAAAAAGGGCTTAAAAACAATTTCCCTAAAAAAAAGAAAAAAAAAATTTTCTTTCCTTTTCTATCTCTCATATTATGTGGCATATCATTCAAAATGACTAAAAATAATGACCGAGCTTATTTACGAACTTCGATACAAAACAATTTTTTTTACGACATCAGAGATTTATTATTATTATTATTATTATGAATTTTATTTTTAATAAAAATTAAAATTTACAAATATTTTCGTTGTTGTTGTTGTTGTTTTTGTGGTTTGTTTTAAAACGAAAAGACATTAATAATTTGGAAAATGAACTTCATCATAAAAAAAGAAAAATTGAATGACATTTAATATTAAAAAATGATAGAATACGAAATATTTGAAATGAAATATTGGAAGAAGAAGAAAAAAAAAATGATTGTCAGATAAATAAATAGAAAATTGATGTGGAAAAAAGAAGACGAAAGAAAGAAAGAAAGAGGATAATAATAATAATAATAATGGAAGTAAAGAATAGAAAAACGAACGGTAATGGAACTGACAGTAGTTTGACGGTAGGGCCTCTAAATACACCTCATTAATGGCAGATTCTCTGATTGAATATTCACGGAAATCTGATAAGAGCTTTTCTCTTTTCAATCATATATTTTCCCTCTCTCTCTTTCACTCACTCTCTCTCTCTCCTTTTATTTGTCGCATTTTATATCATAATATATATATATATCATTCATGTTAACCACGTTTTAAATTATAAAAAACAAAACAAAAACCCCCGCCCCAAACGATTGATAATATGTTTACTTTTATTATTATTATTATTACGAAAAATAATAATAATAATTAATAATGATAATTATTACATAAATATCGGCTTCTTTTTAAAATAAAAAAAAAAAATTTGTTGATTTTTTTTATTAAAAAAAATTTAATAAAAATGCCCTTGAATTGTTACTCGGTAGACATTTTTTGTTTGTTCGTTTGTTATTTTTATTATTGTAATTCATTATTCAATGTTTATGTAAATATATATTTTATTAATTATTATTATTATTATAACAATGTCGGTTCCTTTAATACTTAGTGACAAACGTTTAGTATTGATTTGGATTCCAGGTTTTCAATAGAATTTTCTCTCCTGGAATGAATTTTTCTTTTTCTTTTGGAGCTAACAGATCAAGCACGAGTTGTTCGGATAACAAACAAAAAAATTGTACAGAATCAGATAATGACAAGGTTTTCAAATAGAAACAAAAAAAAAGTGCAACGTCATGGCTGCACTTAGTTATTTGACAGGCAAAACTAATCAAATACTCAACGGTTATTTATTAATATTTGACACTTTCTTTTAGTTTTCACATTCGATACATATATACATACAAATAATCATTTTTCGTTTCTCTTGGATATGCAAAAAGAAATTTTTTTTTTTACTCGTCCCCCCCACACACACACAAAAAAGAAAAAAAGAATGAATGAAAAAATGTATGAATTTGGAACGTAACGTGTTGTTTACCTGTAATGGACAATAAGAAAAAAATATTCAAGTGAAAATCCGCCAAAAAAAAACTTTTTTTTTTTCTTTTTTCTTTTTGGGTAAATATAAATTACTTGAAAGTTTTTCATTGAGTTTTTATTTGAACAATTGTTAAGAAGAAGGAAATTAACTGGAAGAACCCATACTGAGTGCTCTTCAATG